AAAAGTTTTGTTATACAATAAGATATTAATTTTAATATTTCTATTCATATATTTGTAAAGATAGCAGATAATAACTATACAATTTAAAAGAATTGTTGTCTTATATAAATTCTGATTCTTTTGTAACAACAAACTCCAAAATAAATAAATGCATTAAATTTATTTTTCATCAATTCAATAAGAATCTATGCATTTTATTAATCATTCACCTTAATTCATCAAACTAATTTTATACTTGGTATCAAATTAGTAAATAAATTTAAACATAATTTATATATTATTTAGAGTTAAAAGAAGGAATTTTGCCAATTATTGACAAAATCTGACACAATTTATAAAACATCTACTGTATGAATGGTTTACTCTTATTCATTAATTTAATAACAAAACTAAGATCATGAATTTGGCATGTATGCATAATCATGAGCAAGATAATCATAACCATATTGATATTAAAGATGGTCCTGTTCGGCTTATGTATCTATTAACTGTGATGGATTAAAATGAAATCAGATTAAAATGAAATGGATGATAATGTCAAATAGAAAAGTTACTGACAAATACAAATTTTTGAGATGCATTTTTTTAGCATTTTTTTAGGGATAGGATTAGTGTTTAAGGATAGAGTTTATAATAAGTGGGTTTTAGGAGGTCAAATAGAAATCCCTCATTTCATTTTGATCTGATTTCATTATGATCCATGACATTAACTATTATAATTAATGAATAAGGCCAAGTGAGTTGATAACATCTAACCGATATAATTAGAGTTAAAAAAAACTGTAATAGATTACAGCAGAGACAGTGCGTGAATCCCTCTCGCCTATGATCAATTGGATTCAATTGTGATTGATATAATCCCTTACCAGTTTTAATATATGTGTAACATTAACAGTCTCCGCTGTAGTAATAGATTAGTTGCGAAACCAAAATTCAGAATAGGCTGGAGCTAGGCCAATAATACCAGCCAATTATAGCAAAACGAACGGGGCAAAATCGCCACCCAAAAAAGTTTCGGTCATGTGATGAATATATCGAGCACTAAAATTTTATGTAACTTAACAAAAAAATACAAACAAAAAAAATTTAAACTACGTAACAAAATAATAACGATAAGTAATAAATCAATCATATTTATTTCGAATAACTCAATAAAAGTAATATTTATTACAGCCAGAAAGTATTATGATTATGGTTTTTTTAAGTATTTGGAATATTCCATTACCTTTTAACATTGCCTTTTAAAATGGTTATAATCCTTCAATTTATACAATGGCACAAAGTTTTTATTAATACTATCGAGCTATTTGTTACTATTTTGATTAATTGTTTTCTTTAATAATTTTTGTTGCTGCTTCCAGGATTTAAATAAATAATCAGAGTTATAATCTTCCGAAAGAGCATTAAAAATAAAACCTGCAAGATTTTCTAGTGCAATTGCATTGTCTTGATTAGTTTTTATAAATTTATTTCAATTTTCATTCTTTTTTTGTTTATTGTTAATGAAAATTTGGTTATAGTAATTACCATATATTTTTAGAATAGGTGTTATTGGATTCTATGCTTTTAACGATCGCTTTTCACTTTACTTACTGGATCAGTTATGTAAATATTTTAATAAAGATTATTATCATAATCTAATCATATGAATTGACAATATCACATGATTTTCGAAACTTTTTTGGGTGGTGATTTTACCCCGGTCGCAAAACTAGCATCCAGAAAACTTTTTGCTTAGTACATGAATAAGTTTGTGTTACGAAAAGTACAGACTTACAATACGTACAAGTAATTTCACCTAAGTTTCATTAACATGAATTTAATGTAAATTTCACCCGTGATATATAGTACATATAGTATGAAAACTTAGCTTTTAGTGTCTACGCAAGGTTATATAAAAACTACATCAAAAATGTAATTTTGAAATTTTATCTGTCCGCACGCGTGTTCATATTTGTAAATTAATGCATACTCTTACCCTCACGCTTGTGTTGTAAGATAATCAGTATAATAAAAACTAATACGAGCGGAGATATAAAAAAAGTCCTATCCAAGGACTTATCAAACACCTGGTATACAGGGTGTCCCAAAAGTTCCTATACACAGTCTCTTTTTTAAAAGTACATTATATACAGAGATCATCATGGTTTCTATCCGTGTATAGGACACCCTGTATATATCTATAGGGGCATACCCCAAAAATTGATTGATTGATTATCACGGGTAATCACTGTAGATCAACCAATCAAACCATGAATTTTTGTTTACACGATCATTTTTATATATTACAATAGTTATTACGCGTACAATACTTTTTTTTTTTTATATATATTTCAAAATTGATGGTTTTATTTTTTTTAGATTAGTTTATCGCTATTCGTATGAAGTTATTAACGACGATTGTTGGAGTTCTTGATCTTAACAACGTTTCGGATGACTTTTCTGAAATTCTTGACGGCGTTTCCGAAAGTTAAAGCTATCATGAAGCGTTCAACTAAACGAGAAGTTAAAGAGGCATGCATATTTTCTAATAAAAAAACGACATCTTCCGCTTGTTGTGATATTGCCTAAGGGCAGCACTTCTAGACACACAAAGTAGCTAGTTACTTTGTGATGTAGTATCTGCAAGAGTAATTATTGCTGAAATTATTGTCCGGAGAGTAGTGAAGAACATTTAATGTTCTGTTTTCATGTGTGCTCTGGATACATAATGCTATGCATTAACATATTCATGCACACGAAGTACAAACTACTTCGTGATATCACACTTAAAAGGATGATTATTGCCTAGATTGACTGTTTTTGAAACCGAAATTAAGTAGTTTGTGATATCACATAAAAACGAAGATGAAGAAAGGGTTACTTATTCTGAAGAAAGAATGGTTATACATTTTCTTATAAAGCTTATTGCATATTAGTAAAGATATTATGCTTAATAAATATAATTATGTTATTGATTTTTTTTTTTTTTTTATAATAGAAAAACGAACCTATTTTACAAAATTTACATAGTCTGTTCGCATATGATTTGTGAATAGTAGTAGTGTATGATTTAATAAAGTAGTGAAGTATGCTACCAAAATCGCATTTGAGTATATAGAAGTAGCATATTATACTTATAATATATATATATATTTTATTTTACGAATGTGCATAATAAATGTTAATAAATATCATTATTACTAATAAGTTGAAAATTTTACGTCTCAAGTAAAATATAACCAATATTATTTTTTATTGAATGTCTAAATCGATTTTTAAGAGTTAACTAGAATTGATTTTATAGTATAGAAGTTGAAGTATTGGTTGCTAAATACGGTAAAAAAATTAGCTGATAGAATTTATCGGCTTAGTCATAGCCGAAAATTATGGTCCTAAATTTACCAAATTTTCAGAATTTATGAAAACAACTGTAAATAGATAATCATTCAACGATTTAGGTATCACAGGGAAGACGATTTTCTGCGGTGATTAAGACTAAATTCTGCGTATGATAAACCCAAATTCTGTGATTTAATGTGACGTGATTAAGATAAATTCTATGATTTAATGAGATAGATTTTACCAATTATGCGAAGTTCTGTGATACTATTTAGTAATTTTTGCGGTTTAATGTGATAACCTTTTTTTTCCAAACCATATAATTCGTAACTCCCCTTTCGGGATTTCCGGTATTGGCTTGAATTTATAGCCAATATTGCGATTTACTGTGATGTTTTGGAATTCCGTGATATTCTGCGCTACTTTTTTAAAATTCTGTGACATTCTGCGGTAACTAAGGGTGATTTCTGTGGTTTGCTGTAATTAAGAGAAATTCTGCGGTTTTCTGTGAATCACAGCAGATCATCGTCCCTGATCTAAAACTTCTGACAAAAATTTGGAATCTGAAAGTACATTACAAGCCGTCATTCTTGCTGATAGCTTTAATGAACGATTCCGTCTCATAACCCTTGATAGGCCACGAGTATGATTGTTCTGTGATCAGAAATTATTTCATACCCCACACTTTTATAACGTCACCTCAACTCGAAGTGTCTTTTGCCATTTTGCAACACACCACTAATTGAATATACCCTTAGAACTTCTTGCAGTTGCTGGCGTGCAAGAGGAATATCTATTTTGAAGAGAACACTCTGAAATAATAGATTACATCAAGTAAATTTGGCATTTTATATACTCTTAGCGATCGTATTCTTAGCATTATATAAATTAATAAATTAAATAATTTTTCAATTCAGAAAGTCAAAGTGGAGTCGATCATATTCTCCAATAATAATAATTACTATTGTAACACCTGAAGCGCATTCAGTTGAAGATGCACTGAGAAAATTAGATGCAAAACAGTTAATTAATTACGATTTTATTCTCATACGTATACGGTGATGTACGTATCAAATATACATTTAGGCAAAGTATTGGATGCTCATAGGTAAATTTTATATGGATCTAATGTTTGCATTTATCCATTGTCATTATTGCATTATTATCTACAGATTTTCGAGTCCTTTATATAAAAATTAAAATAATTACAACATTACAGTTGGTATAAACCTAAAAAAAGAGATAAATTTACATGCTATATATTTAGAATATTTATATTTAATGATTTATATATGTTCAAATACGTAATGCTCTTATCGATTGTCAGATTTATATTTGTTCAGTAGAGGTAAATAAATTGGTAAATGAAAAATTTACTATCATAACGAATTGATTATCCTGAATTTATCTTAGGTACCAGCTTTATTTACCGAGAATTTTTGATTATTAAGATATTCGAAAAGATTTTGTTTATGGTATTTTGACATCTGATTTATTGGGGAACCCCATTTATTGCCATCTTGTTATTCACTGCAATAGTGCGATTAATTAATTAATTAATTATTCATTCATTTAGTTATTTATTGAATTGAATCTGAAATATTTGAAAATATCTGAAAATATTTCATTTCAATTGTCCTTTATGAATATTTTCAATAGGAGATATCATGAATGGCTGGTTAAAATGCTAAGAGAAGTTCATTTATTGGAAAGATTACATCATCCAAATATTGTGGATTACAAACATGCTTGGTTAGAGCATCATCAGTTGACAACTTTTGGTAAATCCCCATTGCATTAATGATATCAATTATGTTTGTGACTATAAGACTATATTATAGGTGTAATATTTATATAGTTTCTATTTGTTTCTATTGCTTGAATTTTTTTTTCTTTTTTTTTAGGCCCACCAGTTAATGTTAATGGAACGTGCTAATGGTGGCAATTTGGAAGAATTCATTGATATTCAACCATCTACTTTTTCCATGCAAAAAGATTCTAATGATCATTATCTTACACCAAAAGAACGCATATAAAAAGAAATATCCAATCAAAAGCACGTATTTGTACAGAAACACTTAACTTGCCACTTAACCATACACTCCGTTCCTTATAAAACAACTCATTAATAAAGATTTACTATACAGATCATGATAGTCAAGAATACCTCAACTAGCCTATTAAAAGAATTCCTTATGACAGTTAGTATGTCTTATAAAGCAGACCAATATGTACATGTATAACTTCATATAATTCGCCCATGTCCAGCACTGAGAACATATGAATCTTAGTGATGACTGTAGGAAAAAAGGATTGTGGCTGTGTAGGTTTTTGAGATGTGAAAATCTGGCAATATGTGATGGATATGTTCACGTTATCCAATTGGATTATAGATCTTGCCGACGAACACCACCCAGGATTTCCGTGCGATTTTAAAAACACTGGTGTAACCAACAATCAAAAGGGCCGTCATATGATATTCTGATCTAAAACCCTCCAAATTTTTGAGTTTTCAATTTTATATATTTATCTGTAACATCCCTTTATCAGATTTTCTATATGCTAAAAGATCATTGTTTGAATCGGATTGTCAGAAACAGGTTATTTGACTGATAACTTTTGTAGACATATTGTAGCAAAAACATAAAAAATTTGATTTTGAAAGTATGAAAGAAATGTTGAATGTTGCAAAAAAGGCAATGGGGGGAATAAGATTTAAATAAATCCTAGCTAATGACTAGTAGCCTTACTAACCAAAAAAAGTGTAAAACTGAATTAAATAATAAATTTAAATACAATCCATGAAATTTAGGATATGGGGGGGGGTTTTTTTTTTTAACCTGCTTGATCGCAGGACGCCGGGAAGCATATAAATCTTAATTAACTCATTTTTATTGAAATTTGTAAAATCCTCCACATTTAAGAATTACATGAGTTAATCATCTATATATCAATACAATAGCCATTTTAGTTAATCCTAACTACAACTGGAACTGTTCTTTTATTTTTCTAGTCGTTACAACCGTATTTTACCGGATGACTCATTTTGTCTATAATTATTGTTATTGTAAGTTAGTTAGGAATTGGTGTAGCCTACTATACATTTGTATGAACAATAAATCGGATTTCAAACACAAATTGATTCAATTATCTAAACGAGATTCTAAGTATGGAACATGCGAAGATTGCAAAAAATACAATTCTTCAAGAGATTGGTGTCAGACTTGTAATCCTCAACGGATAATTAAAGAATGGACAAGTGAAAATGAGAAAGTTGATGATTATATTAAACAATTTCAATTTAATGCCACGGGTTACGAACATGTTATCTATTGGATTCCTTTTAATAAATTAGATGACATTCAGAAAACTGACAGGATTTACTGCAACATGGTCAGGTGGCATACATTGGATTTTAGGACGAGATAGTAAGCTTACACATTTACATGCACCATATAAAGTAGTACTTAAAACATTACCAAGCTTTCATAATTCGTTAGACTTTTTAGAAGAAGTAGGTCTTATTTTTATATACTTTAGAGTCCGTTTTCACTAATGTTTCAAACTTATATAAATAGATAAAATTTATATATGCTTAGATAAAGAAATCAATAATGATGTGGGTTAACTAAAAACCCGACAACAAACGAATATTCAGTGGTATATGCAATTCATTATAAAAGAAATTATAAATATGGAGAATGTGAAAATTGCACTGAAAAAGCCTGGTGCATGGCATGCGACCCTCAGAGAGCAAGTCAAGGATGAACAACTGGGAACCAAAATGTATCAAAAAATGTCAAAACTACGATACATATGAATGTTATCGAGTGGATTCCTTTTAATAGATTCTGTGGTACCGGAATATCGTGACCGATCACGTGAAAATGCAAGAATGCAATGGGAAAATATAAACAGGAGGAACCGTCGATGTTACACAAAATTGTTACACAATTTAAAGAAGATTTTTTTATATGGTTTTACAATACTTTTTTAGGAAGCCGGCGTAACTTTTCTATTCTATGAAACGTGATTAATTCACTAAGCAAACTTGAAGCTTTCGTGCTGTATTATAACATATTTTTTTAATCTCTTTTAATCTCTCAACTTCATAATATGGTTTGCCTAGTGAAAATATGTTTAACACTAAGCAATGCAAAGAATACGGATCTACCAAGTCGCCTAAATTCCATTAAATAGGGGAGGAAAAATGGGAAGAGATCAAGCATAATGACTTAATAAAGGTAATGTGGAATAAAGAAACTGTTTTATGTAATAAATGCTATATGAAACTTGTAAAAAACCCATTACAAAGTACTAAACGAGTGAAGCTTACAACTAAAGTTAAGGAAGTAGAAGAAAATGTGAATTTAAATGAGGTCATAAAAGTGATGGTATCAATTTTTTATGATAGAGAACATTTCAAAAAAGAAAAGCCTATATATGATTATGATGAAATGCGAGAGATGCTTCAAGAAATTAATTTAAGTTTGAAAGATTTTTTTGATCAGCTTTATTTGGCAGCTCAACTATTTGATCGTAATGTTCAAACTATAACCTGTATGAAAAGATTGATGGTGTTGATTTGTTATTTACTTGTCTCTTTAAATAATACAAGAATTAATTCTTTTAAGTTAGACATTGCATGTTATCTAGATTCGGTAAAAACAAGTAATGAAGACTTGAACACGATGGCAAATATTGGTATGATCACAACTTCTAAGTTAGTAAATCAACAGAAAAGAAGAATCTCTAATGCATATAAGAAAGATGTGGAAAATGCATTTTCTTAGTATTCGAATAATGCACTTGTATTAAATATCAATAATTATCATAATATTCACATTTCATAGCAACCCACTACTATCATTACTTCCTGGCCAACACATATAACGATGATTTTAATGAACCCATACCCTATACAAGTCATACCATATAATAGGGTATTTAATTCAAAATTTATAAATAGCAGCTTGTTTATAAAACATCTTGATGAATGATTTATAGTAAATCTTGGTGTTTTATACTATAATCATGTGTGAAGTGCATGTGTATCTAATGAAGAGCTAATAGATAGGCTAGTATCACATAGCTATAACAATAGACTTGTAGAAAAAAAAGATGATTGGCATATTCATAACTCCATTCTCGTTGATTTTACTGAAAACAAGTTAAAAGATATAGATAGGTACTTGAAGGCTCTTCAAATTATGTATAATTAAGAAGCAATACAAGCATATCTTTCCAACAACGTGATTCCTGTTGTAGCTGACTGGTCGGAACAATATTTTATTTGTAAGACAATTGTGCAATAGTTTCTTCTTAATAATGAAAGCATTCCTCAGTTTGTTCTATCATTCTTGCCTATTATGAAGCTTCTTCATGTATCCTTAAATGCTTGTGAACTTGTTTATTTAAAAAACTTATTTCTATTTAATGATATTTATAAGGGTATATTTGGAGAAAGAAAAAAACTTGGCAATAAACCATGATCATGGAGAATCAATTTAATTCTCCACATCATGCATATGGGATGGTCTAATATCACTAATACAGTTTATTCAAAGTTTGGTCGCATATGCAAGAATGTTGAGTTTTTATATCTAACCAATTTGCTAAGCAATTTAGTTCCTTTAGTTCTCGATGTTTATGCTGTATACCATCGAGAAGGAAATTGGCAAGCTTATGAGGAAGCATGCATGTGTTGCTGGAGTGACCTTTTTCTTTGATTTGATCAAAAGAACTATAAGCATGCTTCATTAATGTTTTTTTCTGATGTTTTTTACTGGATAGAGACTGGTCATCCAATTATTAATCTTATCATTAATCATTTAGCTTCTCTTAGTAATTCTCCTGTTGAAATCGTATACAGTATTATTCAAAGATGTACTACTAAGTTTTTTTACAAGACAACAATTACAAAAAGAAATATACACCATTTTTTAGCAATGATATGATAATAATTTTTAGCAAACTTTTGAATGTTTTGTAAAGTATCCATATATACCAAAACAGTTGGATATACTGTCTCAAAAGTGTTCTATCTGGCTTTTAGAACTATTTGAAAAGGTTTATCGAAATCGTCACTAGTATTCTACTGTTAAATTCTCAGTTGATGGTATAAACATATATATGCTACTTTTGTTGGGTTATAAGGTGACAGATCATCACCTCCCAAGAGATTTTGTTACTTCCAAAAAACCTGATATGTCTGTTTTGTGTAATTTGATAAACTGTGCCAAAACTTTTGAGTTGTATAATGGCATTGTTTTGGCATGTGAGCATGGTTATCACAATGATTGCTTACAAAAATATTATTTTAAATATTTCATATGTTTAGGTTATCTTCAAGATGAGATTCGTAAAAATGTTGACACATTAATATCAAGTATAACTAATAAATTAGTTGAAAGTGAATTGTTTAAGAAGAACGATAATACAGATAATAATGATATTGATGAAGCACACAAAGTATCGGATGATTTAATTGCAACTGAAGATGTATTAAAATATGTAAAGTTAACATTTTTAAATCAATAAAATTATAATATTTATAAAATTTATATTGCATATATATTAAATAAAATAAGCTTGGCGATTATTTTATTACAAATTATAATTACATTTATACCTAATTATTATTAAATTTATACTTAATTATTATTAAATTTATACCTAATTATGATGGCAATGGTTATTGACATATATAATTTTAATTATATTAGTTACTTAAATATGCACAATGCTAATCATTCCTGGCTTGTGTAACATTGATGGTTCCTCCTATTAAAAATATACCTACACAGCATACACGTGATTTTGTGCACAGCAAAATGGCTAGCATTAAACTAATAGACATAGCATAGTTAACATTAAGGTTAGGATTGGTGATTAGATCTAGCGAAATTAGTCATGTGTATTCTGTATTGGTATATCTTCCCAATGCAATAAGTGCAATTAATTACATTTTGTAATTGGAAATGGTATTTTGGATACAGAGGGGTAGATAGAGAATAATGGGAGGATGTAAAAACAAATTACATTTATAAGAATGTTAAATAAATTATCGTAAATAGCATTAAGTAGTTTAAGGAATAATAAGTATAAAGTTGTGATGAAAGTTAATAATATAAATAAAGGTTGAAATGGCCCTTAGAAGAAAAAGTGCTCCATTTGCTTTATTAAATAACAAGTCCCAATATAAACCTTATAAAATCCATAAACTTCATTGTTCATTTGAATTATTGATCATGTAACTTGTCTTACTTGCCTTTGTTAACTGAAAGCCTTAATCACCCACTAGCCAAATCTAATACTCTGTTTACTTCGTGCAAGAATGTTACATCCAAGTCATCTAAATGATCAACTAACCCTCAACTCTTCTTTACTTTCAAAATAATCTTTGAACCTTCATGAAATTTGTTCTTTATTTATGAACATTTGTGAAGATTTAGCTTATTTACATGAACAGGATATTATCCATCGAGATTTAAAACCTTCTAATTTACTATTACAATATGATAACTCAGAAGATTTGACTGGAATGTTCGTATGTTAATATCATCTACTATATTTACTATCTATATTTACTATCTATATTTATTATACATTTATTTATATATTACTTAGACCATATCAGATTTTGTTATTTTGGTAATGTGAAATTTTAGACCACCTCTCCAACTAGTGCTACTGGAACACTAGAAATTATGGCATCAGAACTATTTACTGGTAATTACAACGTACAAGTATATTATATATTAAATCTATAAATCTATATAACTATTTAGTTAATAAAATCTTTATATATTAATATAATGTGTGATCACTTGAAATGATACTTTATTATTTATGTTGCTCAAGACTTTCATATTATCAAATTGAAGATGTTGATGTTTTGAAACAAGAAATTATAGCTGCAAAATCAATTTGAATAAAAAAGAGTAATAAAGCAATTAGAAGAAGATAAGATCAATATAAAATATAATAAAATATGTTAAACTGTATATAGGATGCAATAGGAGAATCTATAATTGAAGCAGTAAATAAACAAATCCCTCCCAAAAAAATATTTAACATGAAGAAAAGCAGAAGACAAGCCCAAAAAAAGTTATAACATCATATGCATATTATTGAACTGCAATATATAATCAAAAGAGCAAAAAAAAAAAAAGAACCAAAAGATAAATAAAGATAAAAAAATTGAAATAAATAATAAACTCAAATACATAAAGAAAGGCATAAAAGTAATACTAACAAAGCTGCACAGACAGTAGTTAGCAGTCTGGATAAATGACATAAAAGATTGGCAAAGAATATTTAAAAGAAAAGAAAAAAAGAATAAAAATGAGTTCAAAAAAAGTAGATAAAAGAAAATATAAACAAAAGATGTGAGATAATTAAAACAGATTAAGAAAAATGATAACTAGTTTATTAAACAGACTATAAGAAGATAATTCTTAACAAATTTATAACACAAAATGAAAAAGAAGTTAATCTAATAATAAAGCCAACTGCAATCTTAAATGTTTTGGCAAAACACTATATAAACCAATTTAGAAAAAGAAAAATCAAGCTTAAAAAAATAAAAAAAAATATACAAATCAAAAAAGTAGATTAATGAAACATAGTATAAGAATTTAGAAAAGAAGATAAAAGAAAAGAATAAGAAGACATATTAAGAGAACTTAAAGCTAATATGACTTCAAAAATATCAGGTATAAGTTATATACTAATAAAATATACAATAAAAAAATCATAAAAAAAATCTTTAGAACTTTTGCAAACTTGGTTCTAAAATAAGAAAAAATATCAAAAAATAGAAAATAATATAAATATATCTAATTTTAAAAGATATAAAATAAAGATATATTTTAAATAACATTAGATTAATTAAACTAAATAAGATATTTAGAAAGATAATTACAAAAATGGTTATAAAGAGACTAGTCAAAATATTCATAAAAAAAAAATATTCAAAAAGCCAAATTATACAAGACTACCAAGCAATTTAACAAAATAATTTATATATATATTAAATATAATAATAAAAAAAACATAAAAAAAAAACAAAGAAACATAAATATTGCTACAAGACATGAAGAAAATATTTGACTTAGTTCTACTAGAAAGTCTAGAATAGGCTCTTAAAAATGTTAAAATATTACAAAAAATAAAAAAATTTATAATTAATCATTTTGATAAGTACCAATTCAAAATTTTCACAATCTATAATTTAATAAAAAAAATAATAGAGGTGTGGTGACTTAATAAAGTGAATAAGTTGTCAATCTTTTAAGTGATAGGTAGTGAGTTCAAAACTCTTTAACAGCAAAAATTTGAATAATCATCTATGTAATATATATATAATATTATAACAATGACATTCTGTTATTCAGTTGGAATAAGATATCTGTAATATGGTCACACCAGTATGACTAACAGATCATGAGTTATCTGTGCAATATTAAAGTTATACAGAGGAATGCAAACTGTCATCAGGCAATGCAAACTTAAGATAAGTTCTTATGGCCATGTAAACCTGTAAACTGAGAAGCTAAAGCCCACTTGGAAAGACCTAAGTAGAAAGGTAGCACAGATCTTTGACAGTACCACTATAAAAGCTAAACCTAGAAAATAGATACCAATATGAAAAGAATCAGGCAGGCAAGAACCTTGGGTAAGAAGTACCATTAACCAGATTATCAGAAGTCTTGAACTAGAGGAAAAAGATCTTGGAAGGCAAATCTTAGAGTATCAGAAACAGGTTATAGTCCTTCTAAGCTATTTAAATTAAAATTCTGAGATCAGAAACAGGTATATATTATAAGTACTAGAGATATGTTGTGAAGTTGATGCTAGGATCTGAGTGAACTTTACAAGAGTGAGTTCTGTTAATAAGAATTAAATATAGGTAGTTAGTTAGCAGAAAGGCACTATTCAGTTTTACAGTCAGGTAACATACTCTGAAATATGTAACAGCTTGATAGATATACAGAAAGGAAGATCAAGATTAGGTTAAATGACACCTAATATAAATGTATAAAAACTTGTATACTATTTGTCAGTATAGTATAAAAATCAGAGTGTTTAAAATAAGTAATCTCCTAGTAGATTGCAAATATGGCAACTAGTGTAGAACATGCTATGCAAGCAGACTACTTAAATTAGACAACCAAAAGTTGTACAAATAGCTAGTTATACACTTACCTTATACAAGTTATGTAATCATAATTAAAAATACAATAAAGGCAGTAACTACTGATAATCATGGCCTTAGTAAAAACAAAAAAAAATAAAATAAAAAAAATAAATAAATAAATAAAATAATAGCAGAAGATGAAATAGACCAAGAAGAAGTAATTTTATCTCTAATCTAATATTTTTTTTATAAGCTGCTACTAGAAAGAATACAAGAAGATAAAGCATTAAAAAGTGTAATAAAACAAAAATAACAGAAAAAATATGCAATAACAATATTATAAATTACAAGCAAGTAGCAATTGCATATGCAAATAATACAAAAATTGCAAATAGCAAAAAATAGTTGTTAAAGATTCTTAGTATTGCAGAAAAGTTCTTCAAGACTAACAATATTGAAATAAATATATTCAAATCAAAACTTATAATAATAAATACAAAAACTAAAGAAAAAGAAAAAAAAATTACTTTTGACTATAGCAAAATAATAAAAACAAAATTATAAAATCATTAGTGATCTGGCTTAACAATAGAATAAGAAAAACACTATTTTGTAAAAAAACAAAAAAAATAGTTAATCAAATAGTTAAAGATCTAAAATACAAAAAAATAACAATAAGTCAAATTGCATATCTAAATAATACAGTAATAATTTTCAAGCTAAGATATCTTTTACAGCTAACAAAAATATTAAAAAAAATAATTAATAAAATATATCAACCATTAGTATGTTTGGCTAAATATAAATACAATATAAAAATATTAAACAATTGTATAATTAAGTATAAAGACTTAGAAAATTGCAAATTACTAAGTCAAAAAATAATGACAAAGCAAATAAGTAGTCTTTTTTTAAGATTTAATAGACACAACAGTCTGGATGAATTAATAAGAATTAAAATTATTCAAGAATACCAAAAGCAAATTTAATAGAAGACATTTAGAACAATAAAATAAAACCAGAAGTAAAGAAGTTTTAAAAGAATAATTTAGTTTAAAAAAAAATAACTAAAGCAAAAAAAATAGAAATAAGCATTAAAGCAAAAAAATATTTATAAAAAGTTTATAGTTATAACAAAAAAATAAAAGATATGTTAAAGACAAAAACATGAAAACAAGCAGTAGTACAATAAACAAATAAGAGTTATTATATTTAAACTAGCTTATAGATACAAAAGTTAATAATCTAATTATATAGAAACAGCTTAAGAATCTTCAAGAACTGTTATATAAAAAAAAAAAGAAGCTAAATAGTTGAGTGAAATAAAAAAAAATACAAACAGATAGAGAAATACAGAACTACTACAAAATAAATAACTACAATATACAGATATTAAAGATCAAATAAATAAAAAATATTAGAAGACTAAAAAAAATAAATAAATCATATATAGACTGAAACACAACTAGCAACTTAGCAAAATAATCAAGAAAAAGAAAAAAAAGTGCTAGCAGAATATTAACTAATATATAAAGAAAAAGAAAAAACATCTATAGAAATAAGTACATGCAAAGATTATAAAAGTAGATCAAATAAATATGAAAAATAAATAAAATAAAACCTTAATATAAAAGTGATATTAGAGTTATTAGTAGAGAAGAGCAATAATAGAATAAATACAATATTAGAACAGTTATTAGAAAATAGAATAATAGAAAAATAAAAAAAAGATAAAATAAAACTATTAAGATTAAAATAAACAGAACTAAAGATAAAGCTAATTAGAAAACAAAAATTAAATAATGCAATTAGAAACTATTTAATAGAGATTCTAATAAGAAATAAGAAGAAAGACAAAAAAAATAAATCTTCTATACAGACAGCATATTATATAAGAAGAAAAAAGAAAACAGTACAGAAAAAATAAATATTGATTAAGTATAAGTAGAAGATAAAAAAAATTTCCAAAAAAGAAAACTGCATTGAAACTAAAAGAATAGTTTTCAGTAACAATAGCAAAATTAGCAGCAATATAAACAGCAGTTCTAATAGTATCAGAAAAGAAAAATATAAAAGTATATACAGATAGCATTGCAGCATTAAAAAATATTAATAAAGCAATTCAGAATGCAAGAAATAAAAAACTTTAAAGAAAAAAAACATAATAAAAATAATAAATATTGTTGATTTTATCAAGAGCAAAAATGCTAAAATAGAAATGATTAAAGTAAAAAGTTATAGTAAAGACAAGTGAAATGACAGAGCAGACTTTTTTGTAAAAAAAAAGAATAACTTGTAAAAATATAATATATGCAAAGAAGATTAATTGCAACAGAATAACAACTGGCAAACTCTAATTGTAGAGCTAAGAATATTTTCTTTTTTTAAAAAAAAAAACTTAGTGAAATAAAGTTTGCTATAGCAGGTTACACTTAGGTATCACTAAGACAACTGAGTAGGTCACTTTTTAGTATAAATATCTAAATAGGTAAACTTTGTAAGATAAAATAGCTTTATTGTA